GTTTAACTCTTGGAATCCATTTTAATAACCTCACCATATCCTATGTTTGATGCATCTGTTTTGACAATAATGGGAGCTAAAGGGTCTATGATCGAAGGACATGGGTACTTTTGATAGCAACTTTAACTTTTTGGACGGATAAAGTATGCTCTAAACCCCATGGTAGTAAATTTTTTAGTAACCTTTGAAAAAGTGGTGCATGTAATTGATGTATACTTTTGACAAAATCGGCAACATAATTGACACAGTCTAAAAAGCGCTGTAAGCTTTATCTTAAATTTCATTTGAAAAGTTATCAGCAAATTTCAGACTTCTTTGAATTGGTATAAGTGTTCCTACGTTTATAAAATAGCCTAAAATCCTTATAGGCGTTTTACAAAGAATAACATTTTTTCGCAGAAACTGCTAAACCATTGTTCTTAATGATACAAATGAATGTATTAAATCGCCGTTCTAAACCTTCAAAATAGATTAAAACACCATCGATGTGTTTATAATAAATTTTTGATAAGGATTAAAAATATCATTCATAATTTTTCAAAATTCTGAAGGTGCATTTTGTAGACTAAAAAGCATGACATTCTATTCATATTGACCAAATGGAACATTCAACGTAGTTTTGTATATATCTTCTTCTTTGATTTGATTCTGCCAAAAAAAGAGATTTCATATCAAATTTTGAGAAGATAATAGTTTCGAGTAATTTGTTTAACGGATCTTTCTTTTGAGGTAATGGATATCGAATCCATTGAATAACTTTATCAAGATGTTTGTAATTGATAACGAGACGTGAAGCACCTTGTTTAATTTCAACATAATTATTAACATAGAATGCAAAGCAACTCCATGGAAATTTACTTGGACGAATAAGTTTTTTTTCCAATAAATTATTGATTTTCTTGATACAAAAATCAAGTAATTCGTTATTCATTTGAATAGGACGAGATTTTGCAAGAATTATTGATTCAAAAAAATCATGAACATAAGGAAGAGAAATAATACGTTTTTGTTTTTAAATTTTAGAAAGCACTAAGAATAGTCGAATATATTCCATTCTCAATTTGTTCTTAAAATTTTTTCTGTAATTGAATAATTTTGTAATTGCTTTTCAATTCTTTAAAATTTAATTTCATTTTTGAAAATTGAATATGATTTTTCTTGATATCAATATTATTGACAATTTTTGAAATTGATGCTTCTTCTAAAGAATTAACATCTTTATAAAAATGAGGATTTGTAAAATAAAAATATATGTTTTGACAAAAAATCTTTGTATTTAATCCTTTTGTGTCTGCTTGAAAATGATAAATTTGAACGATAAAAGGTATATTAAAAATTACTTCTTAATCTAAATTTTTTACCGAATAAAAATTATTTTTAAAACATATAGGTATGAGTAGAGCATATACAGCCATAATTCCAAAGACAAACCAGGCCCCGTGAGAGTACAATGTGGTCTTGCTAAAAGTCAGCAGTATCCATAATGACAGCATGTGGGATGTCTGTGGAACTTAAAAAATAGTATTCATTTTCTTCTTTTAATATTATTTAACGAAGAATCCACTTTTTTCAAACTACTTTAAAAACAAATGTATTTATTTGAGTGTTCTAATGTCATAATAAATTTTGAGGTTTCATATTAAAAAAAGATGAATAAACTAAATTTTTATATCACGTAAATTAATGTTAAACACTCGACTTTAAATATATTCTTGACAATAATTCGATATTTTGTCTTCAACTGTGAAGTAAATTGACATATGAAACGTGGTATGTTACCTTCAACCTTAAAAAATATCTTCTCTGGGTCCACATTGACGAGCCAATCACTAAACTTGAAACTCAAATTTATCTTTGATCAACCAAGAATCTAAGTAATTACTGTTGAAGTCAGCTAGTACTTAAAGATCTGTCATGGTCATATTAAAATATCTCATCAAAATTAGTTAGCACTTAACTACATGTCACAGTCAGGTCAAAATATCTTAAAATAAAACACGCCAAGACTTAATTGTTATTTCAACAATCCTTCCAGAATATACGAACAATTTTTTTAGTTTATGCGATCGAAAAAATTATACAATTATTTAGCTCGTATAAAACAAATAAGGAAAACACAAGTTCAAAGGCCTTTAAGCATCATGTGGGGACCAGGAATATTAAGCCCATGATTGATCCCAATTTCTTAAAATTATTAACCACGCATTTTATGGAATTTACAATTTTTATCCACTTTTCAATTACATTTAATCAACTTTTATAAAAATTTAAAATTAATATTTGTTAGAATTGGGTTATGAGTCGAATTCTCGTTGAGTATTTGATTCGAAATACTATTAAAGAAGTATTGAGACTTGGTAGCAGACTTTAAGATGTCTTGAAGGAGTTTAAGGTGAATTTGACTATTATTTTATTCCAAATTCTCTATAATTGGCTTTACCTATTGTATTCCACCTTATATTAAGTTCTTCATGTATTAATTTTCTTAGTATTTTAAAAATTATTTGGTTATAAATATGTGGTGTATAACACATATTGGAATTGAATAATTGTCCAATTAGTTATTGGTTCAAACAGATCATTTGTAATTCCTTACTATTAATTATAGTGAATTATTCTTCTTCTGTCCATGGTTTTCCTGGATTTTGGTTTTCACGTACATCTTGTTTTCTTTATAATACATTATTTTCATATTATTTTTATTTTTCTCGTCTTTAATTATTAGGCTCAGTTCCCAACAAAGTGGTATTAGATATGTACAGCTTTATACAAAATGGTTTAAGATCTAATCCAGAGTATGACAATTTTTATCCAAACAAAATAGGGGTAAGTTATGTTGGGACATTTAGTCCATGTTTGATTTAGCTTAAAAGTAGATAAATGAGTTCCACAACTTTGATCAACTCTTTAATCATACATTTCATGATTTTTATCAAAATCTACTAAAATTTTGATTTTTTGAAAAATCAAACATGGGCTTAAGTTTGTGTAAGATTTACTTGATAAGGATCCTCGAAGGAAAAAAAAAAATGTAAAATATCCTAATTGCTCGTGATCATTTTTTTTTTTTAATTGTGCCGAGACCTTTCCAAGGTTGCTTTCATGGTCCTAGTCCGGATTCCTTGACGGTTAAGCCATTTGAGAGGTGTCGATTATGGGGTGTGACATTTTTCTCATAATTCATAGAGGAACGGACAAGGGCCTCTGATTCTTTGTGTGGAGGTAATTTGTTAGCCCCTTGAGATGATCGAAACATGCCTTGAACGTAGTCCGTGTTTGAAAGATATTTTGTTAATATACGATCAGTTTCCTTCAAAAACACATACAAATTTTGGTGTTTAATAGTAAACAGCTTTGATGATATGAATTTTAAGATTCGTCAAAGGGTTGTCCATCTAGGATTGGGGGGCATGTGGTTACAATTCAAAGCGTACTAATCTAGCATTTGACCTTAGATTGAATAATAATGTGCATTTGAACTTTACCAAAAGGAAGAAAAAATAATAATAATAAAAATTGAAAATCAGAGGTAAATACAAAGAATTAAACTTTTGCTTGTCAAACAGGGCCAACTGACAGGCCCTGTTGCTGCCTTGATCTGAATTCGGTGGATCTCATGTGATGCAAGATCGAGCACCTCGGCCCTGTCAACCTTGATTTGAATTCAGCGGATCTCATGTGATGCAAGATAGGGGCCAAGGTGCTACCACCTCGACCCTGTCAACAAATCTGTTAATTGGCCCTGTTTACATAGCAGGTCTCAAGAATTAAACTCTTGGATAGTTGGATGGCATTTCCTCACAACGCATGAGACCCGCATGAAATAAAAATGTCAAAAAAATGATTTCCCTTCCCTCCCACGTGAGTGTGCTTTCAAGAAGGGTATCCAACCCTAGTTGACAACACAGCACGATTGAAATACAAATCAAATGACAGATTTAGGCACTTGACAATCCTTCATATTACGTGTAAAAGATTTTCACAATATTCAATCAATTTTATGGAACTATATTTACAATCGTAAAATTATTTTCTTATCTGGATTGTTTCTAACAGCACAATTTTTACTCTAAATTTGGACAACGACACTTTTTAAGGGTAAGTTAACTGAAATGACATTACTTTCAAAAAGGCCCTACGCATGCCAATTACAAATGTCTATAGACTTGTTTTGAATCGAGTTGATCATCTAAAGTAAATTCAGCATATTTTTAAATAGTAATAAAAGTTAAAAATGGATAAATCACGATCGACCTTTTTAAATGATGCTACTCAACTTGAGCTGAGCTCCATCTCAATTTATACCTCTAATGATCCCGATCAATTTTGCTCGACTTGTCCAAAGTCTTTTTATAGCTCTTGTTTGATCCTCATTATTTTTAAAATATTTTTTTTTCAGCCACGTATTCTTTGATAAAATAATATTATGCGAGAACTCAACATTTTTTATTATATTTTTTAATTATATATTCTCCGTCAATTTATTATTACAAAATACATTATAGGAAAATAATGGGCTCTCAGACATGTATAGAAAGCCATAAGTCAAATTTACACAACGTCATATTTTCCATTTTACACTTTTCTTTCTGAGTAATAATACGTAGTCCAATTAGAATTGCAACCTCAGTTTAGATAACGTTAATGTAATATTAATTGATACGTAGAATTAAGCCATTGTTTGAGTCACATTATTTTCATAAAAATATATTTTTGAATAGTGTATTGAAAGGAAATGTGTAGTTAAAAAAAAAAATTTAAATTTGCATGTAATACTATTTATTAAAGAACGTGTGATTAAAATAATGTCAAATTACTGTTTAAAAATATATTTTTTTTTAAAAATGTGGATCAAACATGACTTAAATAAATCTCGCCTATAGCTCAATCCATAGTGTAGAGCCATCTAAATTGAACCCGTCTTTCATTTTCACCGCCTGCGTGCTCTCTCTCTCTCTCTCTCTCTCTCTCTCTCTCTCTCTCTCTCTCTCTGTATATATACGGTTGTTAAGTGTAATAATTGTCATACATATGCAGGAATATATAAATATCGTCTGTCAGAAACGTAAAGTCATTGGATACCGCCCATAAACCAATAAGTACCGATAGATATGTAGAGAGAGAAAGAGATCATTACTCAACGCCTATACATGCATTTATATCTGTATCTGTATCTGTATCTGTATATGTATATGTTTGCGTAGTTCTTTGTGTGTGAGGAAAAATGGGTGGGAGTAAATGGAGGAAAGTTAAGCTTGCTCTTGGGTTGAAGCTCAACACATGTCTTCACGAACCAAGAACCATCGAGGACGCGCCGCCGTTGTCCGCCGGGAGGTTGTCTGATGCCGCTTCCTTGTCCTCGCTGCCGTCGCGGCGAAATCCCACCACGCCTACGCCATCTTCCTCCGGACTCCGCTTGTCGAAACACTCCTCCAAATCTTTCGAGGTGCAAATTTTACAAAAATATTCCACCTTAATATATATTTGTGTATTTTTCCTCTTTAAATGCATGACCACTAATATACTAATATTTGTGCCTATTTTTTAAGGATTAATGCTGATTTCTCGTTTTATTGAAAAGCCATTAGTTTTGATAAGTCCAAAAAATCCGAAAACAATTTGGACTTTTGAGATAGAACCAAGAGTGAATATAGTACGAGTACAACAAGCTGAAACAAGCAATTCGGTAGGTTTAAATCACAAACGAACAATTGAATTTCAGGATTTGTGCGTTTTAAAAATTTTCTATTTACTGGAAAGATACTAGTCCGATACTTTCTATTTAGTGTTCTTTTCATTTGTCATGGATCTTGAATTTTCTTTCTAACGGGATTTTCAAGAATCTTAATGGGATTTTTCCTGTGCTGCTAAGAACTTCTGGATTTGATTTTGTTTCTTTTTTCTTTTCTTTATTGATAAAAAAAGAACTATATTTATTTTTCTTATTTTTTTCAGTTAATGTTTATTTTCTGAATGGATTGGTGTTCGAACATGTTTGAAGAAGGTGGCTGTCATGTGGGGTAGAGGGGTGATGTTAATGGGTGTACAGAAATATGCATTATGAGCTGTCTAAGATGGGCTTGTATTGTAATGTAGTTTTCAGCTCACTGTGATGAGGTAGGGATAAAGTGGTTGGATTCCCTTTTTTAGGATTATTCTGATATAGGCTTAATTCTTCAGTGGGGATGGGTGGGTTTGAATATTTTGTGCTCTTTTGTTTGTAATCTACGGATTGAGTTTTCTCGTTTTGTCCATGGATGTAGACCTACTGCTGAGCCACTTGTTCTTTCTCTCTTTAATGTCTTGCCTAAACCCCTTTTGAAGCTTCCGCATAATGGGATCAACATAATCTAAGTGCTTTGCTTAGTGAACAACTTGACTGTTTCAAGGACATGGCATTACTCATTTGGATATTTTCTCACCCCTTTTCATCAAAATTGTAGTCTTCAGTTAACTATATAAATTATGAAATAAATTATTGGTTCAGAGTTTTCAGGCAATAAGTGTTGTTGAACTAAGGTCAAGTTTGAAGAAAGAATGGAAATCTTGTAGTAAAGAACAATGTCTACTCCTTTTAATTAATAAATAAGGGTATAGCATCCTTTTCATAAAAATCTTACTTCTTAACGGTCGAGTAGGCAGACATGTCATTAAATCTGATTTTCTAGAAAAAGGCTGGTGTCCTCAATTTTCCCTTCATATTTATCCCTTTCTGATGGCTTGAGAGTTTCATTATTGATCTTGACAAGTTGTTATTGATTTGGAATGGTTGATTTTAATTAAAAGTTCCTTCTAGCTTACAAAATCGAGTTAATGATAAGATGTTTGACAATAAAGTCTTAGGTAACATCGATTTTCCTTTGCTCTGAATGTGTAATGGTTATTATATCATAAGAATGTTAAATCTTATATTTCTCTGTGTACGTCGATTTTGAACTCTGAATCATCTATGTAATTTGATTTTGAACTTTATCTTTGATTGCAGAGGACCTGTGCAATATGTTTGACGTCCATGAAACCTGGCCATGGCCATGCCATTTTCACGGCAGAATGCTCACACTCCTTTCATTTCCATTGTATTACAACTAATGTAAAACATGGAAAACGAAGTTGTCCGGTTTGCAGAGCGAAATGGAAAGAAATACCCCTCCAGAGTCCTGTTACCGATAAACCGCGTGGAAAACCACTCTTAAACAATTTGTCCTGGCCTCGAGATGATACCTGGTTGACCGTTATAAGACAATTGCCCCCTTCCCGATTGGTCGCTAATCAACATGTTTCTTCATTTTTTCATCCGGTGGAACCTAGGGTGTTCGATGATGATGAACGTCAACTACCTGATGTCACCCTATCTTCTGGTAATGATGTGACTGATGACCATTCTGTCGGAGTCATGGAGGTTAAAACATACCCAGAGGTTTCTGCTGTTCCGAAGTCAACATTCCACAATAATTTTGCTGTTCTGATTCATCTCAAAGCTCCTGTTACTACCAGGCCCCAACTTTCTGGAATAAATCAAACATCTCGTGCTCCAGTCGATCTCGTCTCAGTGCTTGATGTTAGTGGTAGCATGGCAGGTAGCAAGCTTGCCTTGCTGAAACGGGCAGTGGGATTCGTGATCCAAAACCTTGGCCCCTCTGATAGGCTTTCAGTAATTGCCTTCTCATCCACTGCTCGTCGTCTCTTTGCTCTTCGTAGGATGACTGATAATGGAAAGTGCGAAGCTTTACAAGCTGTTAATTCTTTAAGATCAAATGGTGGGACAAACATTGTCGAGGCCCTTAAGAAGGGTGCGAAGGTGATGACTGACCGCAAGTGGAAAAATCCAGTTTGTAGTATTATATTGTTGTCCGATGGACAAGACACGTATGCTCTTAGCAGCCCGAGTGGTACCAACACACCCAATACCAGTACTGATTACCAATCATTACTCCCGAATTTCATGCATCACGATAGTGCTTCCGATTTCCACATTCCCGTACACACATTTGGATTTGGTGTAGATCATGATTCAGTCTCAATGCATTCAATCTCCGAAACTTCTGGGGGAACGTTT